GAAATGATTACAATAACCCTGTCAAAAGTTTGGAAACCCTTGGTTCTTAATACTGTGTGTGGTTACCTGGATGATCTACGACTGTTAATTAAGTACTATTTACCTTGATCTTCAAATTCAAAAAGTTTCCACCTGGCTCTTAATGCATCATGTTTCCTTCTGGAGCATCAATGAGTGTTTGAATCTTTTTGTGTTTGAGTCCCTCAATTGTCCTCAGTGTGAAAAGATGGATCTCAAAATCATACAGTCACTGCTGGAAAGTTCAAATATTCAAAATATGCTGGAAAACTGAAGAATCTCCAGGACATGGAGGATTTTTCTGAAGAACAGCAGACAGTTTAACTGTTCAGGACAAACAAGGGACTCATGAACAACCATCACAAAACAAAAAACCAGTCGTAGATCATCCAGGTAACCACACAAAGTATTAAGAACCAAGGGTTCCCAAACTTTTGAAGGGGGTTATTTTAGCTTTTTTTTTTGTCTTGTGGACTATATGTAAACATCTTTTATGTAAAAATCTTACTCAGGACAGTACTAAATAAAAAATAACATGCATTTTGTATGATCTCTCTTATTTTGTTAAAATTATTCACATTTTCACAGATTCTGCAAGGGGTTCCCAAACTTTCGCATGCCACTGTATGTTATACTGTCATTCTGATGTGTGTCTCTCTCTGTCCCTGTTTTTTTTTGTTTTTTTTAGGTTGTTTCAATATCAAAATGTATGTGTTATTTGTATATTTAAATGGAATAACAGATATGGATTGTACTGCACGTTATCTTGCTTATTTTACTCAAGAGCACAATTTATTTATTTCTATATTCCATTAGTTCCAATCACAAAGTTTCAATAAAAATGAATCATAGTTGTGACCCTTTTCAAATAAAGTCATTTGCAGTTATTTATGCAGTTGAATTTGATAAACAAAGGTCAACAGCAATGACATTGGTAAATAAAGGGAGAATATATCTGTAAAGTATATTTGTGTAATTGAATTGTAGGTTTACAAAATGTTTAAATTAATTCAGTTCAAGTTCAAGTCGAGCACTTACAAAGAATATTCTCTTAAACATTCCTCCAAGAAAAAGTAGTCCATTACTGTGTGTAAAAACGTTTTGCAACAAGCCTGTGTTTTGTATGTATGGCACTGATGCGCACTATTAAATTATTAAGTGCTACAAGGCCATTTTACGATGGCCAGATGGTCTCGATGACCTATTCTTTTTGGTACAGCATGAAAAGAAAGACATGTGACAATAGCATGTTGTCCAAATATACAATTTCTTAATCATTATTAACCTATTTGTGAGTAGACCATTGCATAGAGATGTATTTCATGCATTACTGAATCAGATAATATTGTATGTTTCCTCTCCATTCGATTTCTGGGGGTTGACTCTGGATCTGAACACAGTGAATAAACATCTCCGTCTGTCTGAGGGGCACACAGTGATCACGTCTGCTGACACAGGCCAGCTGTATCCTGCTCACCCGGACAGATTTGACTGTGAGCTGCAGGTGTTGTGCACAGAGAGTGTGTGGACGCTGTTACTGGGAGCTGGAGCTGTATCGCAGTGTCATATAAGAGCATCGGCAGGAAAGAAACCAGTTCTGCGTGTGTGTTTGGACGTAATGATCAGTCCTGGTGTTTGTCCTGCTCTCCCTCCGGATACTTATGCTGGCACGATAATATAGATAGCCTGTTTCCTCCAGCTGCTCTAGAATAGGAGTGTATGTGGATCTCAATGCAGGAACTCTGTCCTTCTACAGCGTCTCTGACACAATGAGCCTCATCCACAGAGAACAGGCCACATTCACTCAGCCGCTACATCCAGGGTTTTTAGTCGGGTCCAGGTCAACATTTGACTGTGTGATCTAACAGTATAAACAATACTGAGATTCATAGGAAAGCTTTCAGCTGTATAATAAACTTAATGTTATTTTCCACAACCCCTGTAGAGTTATTACAAGATATTACAAGAGTGAAAATCTAATCTAATGTTTACTCAGAACTTTAAAAACAACCAATAGGTTTCATTGATGTTCAATAATTGGAAATGAAAATAACATATCACTCTCAGTGCTTTGGAATATTAATAAAAACATTTTTCTTTGGCTCAAAGAACAAATTAATTCAGTGTGCCAAACAAAGCAGGACTGTAATCGCCATAGACATTGTGAGTAAATATGTGTTTGCTAGTAGTTATCACTACTAACTTTTAAATGCTGCATAGAAATGATCACAGAAATTAAATCCTATACATTAAATAACTCATCATTTTATCACATTTAAAAAAAAGCTTGAATAACCCATGACATTTCTCTTGCAAAACATGTTTAGTAAGTTTGATAAAAAGAAAGCAAGAAAGAAGGCTCAGCCAATACTATTGACAAAATTTCAAGAATAAGAACGACCAGAAATGTTTCTGAACAAGCAGCTTATCATTTATTTATACACAGAAAATACAATACACAGATTTACAGTGGATGAATAATCTCAATCTGCCCTCACATGACTATTTCCTTCCACTCATTCACAACTTATGAAATATATTTACTACATTTAAATATTATTGTTTTGGTGTGTTATAATTACTATCACAGGGTTTGATGAAATGCACAGAAGAGTGACTGATTGCCTTGGATTGGTTGGGAGAATGAGATTCTTATAGATGTTTCAGATCTACTAATTACAAAACTCTAAAGACCTCACTCTGGGTGGTGTTATTTTTTGCCGAATCTTTGTGGCACAGCCAAGCTCCATATCTGTCCAGGAACAGTCTCCCAGTCGCGAGACTGTATCCTTTCCTCTGTGGACAAGCCGCTCCGAGTCCCCCGACCAAACCTGGAGTGCAAAGAATAACGCCAAAGTAAATCCTGTGGATATTTCTGTCATCTTTATGGCAGAGAATATCTTACAAACCACCCATAATCTTCCATACTCACTGAAATGTTAAAAACGGTGTAAATGTTATGGTACTGCTGAATAGGGGATCCAGTTATACACTGTCTTTGACAGACATTTGAAGTGGATCAAAACCTTTCATCAAAGTTGTCCTAAAACCTAAAAGCGTTCTTATCTCAAGACAACTTTGATGAACTTTTTTGATCCACTTCAAATGTTGATTACTGTAGTTAAAAATGAGAATTGGTCATTAAAATAAAGTTTTACCAGGAAATACGATTTGAGTTTTTCTACTTCATATTTCTAAGATTTCCAATGTTTTTCAGTGCAAGTCAAATGTGCTGTAAGTGAGAGACTCTTCAGATGAAAGCCTCTTCCGGTGAGCAGGAGCATGTTAGTCTCTGAAGCCACTGCACACGTCATCATGCCGAAGCGGCGTCTCTCTGGAGAGCGCTTGTGTTTTAGAACAGATTTAGTGCCGACTGATGAAGCTTTACACTAGACTGGACTCACAATAGCTCACCAGAAATGATCACTTAGCTGCTGAACTTTTATTGGCTCAGAAATCTCTACAGCTGATCTCAAAGAGACATAAAGGCTATATATACTGTATAGTCCCATCACTTATGTGTACCCCTGTGAAAAGACGTGTTTATCGTAAGTTTAACGCAAGTTAACATATGCTTTGAAAAATCTGAATAGATTTTTATTCTTATTGTAAAATGATGGAACATTAGGTCATGAATATTGTCTCAAAAGTCATGGAAATGTATTGGTAAAAATGTGTATGAACCCTGATACCGTCCAACGGTGTGTTTGGGTATTCCAGTAAAGCAATGTAAGGGTCACTTTTGCCACTTTGCTTTCTTTAACAGGTTTTTTATGGTTTGGACTGCTCGTTCAGCTGTGTGTCCTGGCCTGGACGTCGCATCTTCAAATTCCCACACTGTTGCAAAGTCTCTGAACTCTGGTGCACTGTGGACCATTGTCTCAGACTATCTGGTATTCCACGCCTCGTGAACATGGTCTTCATGGCCACAATTGCACAGTTGCGTCAGACAGGAATTTGGAGTAATAATCAACAGACAGTAAGTAATCTGAACCATTGAAAAATGGAACAGATCTCCGCTGATTTTTGACCAAGGTCTTCCTGGTATTGGATGCGATATCCTTGGCTCTCTTGGGTTGCTATTAAGACATTGGGAAACAAATTCTTCAATTCAACCAATACGGAACATCCCTGGCTCTTTCTTTACATTTCACACCTCCAAGATGTGATTGATGAATTTTCATCAGCTTTTCACATCTCAGTTTGCTCGGAGCAATGAAGTCGTTATGTGAAGCTTAACGATGGTCCTGGGTAAAGTCCAGAATGCCTGAATCTGTTTTGGAACCTCACTTCTTTCTTTAGGCCATACATCCATCCTGTTCTGCCTCCTCTTTTCTTATATTTGACACTGCTTATCTTGTTCACATCAACTAATTCATCTTTTCATTTGATTTGGCGTTGTCTTGTCGGCCCTGCAGGTGTCTTATCACTTTTTCCACTGTGAGCTCTGCGTCACGCAACGGTCTTGCGTGAACTTTTAATGCCACATATGATTCTATCCCTTATAAGTGAATCAGTCAAATCGTGAAATTCAGTCTTTCGCCTTGTGTTTATGATCGGTGACATACAAATACAGGTAGCACACAAAATACCTCACGGTGTGCATGATTAATAGGAAATCATGAAGCTAATCTGAGACGGTTTCATTAGGCACGTCTCTGCATGATTAGAGACAGACTGGAGTTTCATCATCTGTGTAGTAACATCTCATTCAAATTTGCACTCGCCTGCTTAAGGCAGACCGGAACTGAAATTAAACTGACACCCAAGAGACAAACAGATGGACTTGAAGAAAAAGAAGAAAAAATAGTTGACTTAAAGTGCACTTGCTCTAGGTTTCAGAAGCTTGTATGTATAGACACTCATATGTGTAACTTAAATGATCTTCTGTCTTTGCCAGACGGCTCACTCTGGTTTGTTCGCACTCGATACTTAAATTGTTGCTGTAGCACTAAAACATCTCGCATCATACTTCATGAAGATGACATTTTGGGCTTTTATTAATTAGGCAGCTACACATGTACAGTGTGTACAGGTTCATCAGATTCATGTCTTAAAACATAAATACATCTCAGCCGTTCTGTCTCTCAGCTGAATTACTGACAGCATGGAATGTGTCTCAAACATACAGCAGAACAGAACACAAGTATCTGCCACACCAACATAACTCACATTTACATGAAAACGGAGAAACCGGAAATCAAAATCATTTCAGTGGCATTTCAAACATGAATGAAATGAAAACATGAATGAAATGATCTGGCATGAAGGGAAACTTTTGATGACAGTCACATCTCCTAATGAAGACACATCAGAATGCACAATACCACAAAACAATGTAGAATTTAAAGGCACTTTTGTTGTTAGCATTTCTTTCTTTTTTTTTTTTTTAAAGCTGCATTCACTGTAATGCTTTTTATTTTGTTCAGAATCTCTTGTTAGTACGGTCAAATGATGGCAAATCTGTTCAGCAAACAAGTTTGAACTAGTGATGCACCTAAACTAAATAAACAGCCAATGATAGAATCTTTGAAATGAAAAAGAAAAAGAAAAAAAAATGAAAATGATGATAGATGATTTATTGACAGAAATGAGGTCCTTTATTTTTGACCAGAAGGTTTGGCGTGTCAGTCGTCTGTGCGAGCAGAGCACTTGCTAGTGTGCACAACGGGCGTCTCACGCGTCCTGCATTCAATGCCGTCAGTACTGCTCCTTCAATAAAATAAATACTCATTTCTCTTTCATTCAGGCATTAAAACACATGTTTTAGGGTGAAGGCAGGCTAATGTTCCTGCAGGTCATAAAAACACTTCATCAGCTTATTCATGGTAAGAAAAGCAGCCTTTGAGAACCTACAAATAACGGTTCAAACCTTCTAGGTCTGCCGTTCATCAGCAAATGAATCATTAGTTAGCGAGTCATTGTTTAATTTGTACTGTTAAATTCTCTTGACTTTACACTGATTGTACACAGACCGCTCAGTGTACGTTCTGTAAGGAATCATTTTAAGCCCATATTTCTGCAGCTGTTGTAGTAAATAAGTTATGAGGAGCACAGTAGATCTATCAGTTCTGCCAGACCTACAATAGTAGATCTATACAAAGTGATCAGGAACTGATGCAGGAAAACCAAGAAAAAAAGACTAATATTTGGATTGTGCTGTTGGTTACAGTGAGGGCGTTCCTCACACTGGAAGAACAAACAAGTGTTCACACTGCTTCAGGAATCAAACTCTGGCTGTTCATCCATGAGAACGGCAGGCGGATACTGAACCGAACCTCTGAAGTCCAGACGAGAGACGCCCAGAGCGATCAGACAGCGCCACACCTGAGGACACACACACACGTTTGTTTCTGTGAATTGTGGGGACTCTCCATAGACTTTAATTACTTTTACATTGACCAAATTATATTTTCAATCCCCTAACCCAACCCTAAACCTAAACCTACCCCTTACAGAAAACCTGCTTGCATTGTTACACTTTCAGATAAACATCATTTACTATTTTTTTTCCCCCTGTGGGGACTACAAGCCGGTGCCCACAATGTCAAATATTGTCCATCTTCGTGAGGACATTTGTCCTCTGACATGTGTGGACATCTGTGTCTGTGTCTGTCTGTCTCTCTCTCTCTCGCACGCACGCAGTCACTCTCTCACACTCGCTCTCTCACACACACACGCACGCACACACTCACACTCTCTCTCTCACACTCACGCACGCACGCACACACTCACTCTCTCTCTCACACACACGCACGCACGCACACTCACTCTCTCTCTCACACTCACGCACGCACGCACACTCTCTCACACACACACGCACGCATGCACACACTCACACACTCTCTCACACACACACACACACACAAACTCTCTCTCACACGCACAAACACACACGCTCACTCTCTCTCACACTCACACTCGCTCACACTCTCTCTCACGCACACACACACAAACTCTCTCTCACGCTCACACACACAAACTCACACACGCTCACACACACTCTCTCTCTCACGCACACTCTCACACGCACACTCTCTCTCGCACGCACGCAGTCACTCTCTCACACTCGCTCTCTCACACACACACGCACGCACACACTCACACTCTCTCTCTCACACTCACGCACGCACGCACACTCACTCTCTCTCTCACACTCACGCACACACTCACACTCTCTCTCTCACACTCACGCACGCACACTCACTCTCTCTCTCACACACACGCACGCACGCACACTCACTCTCTCTCTCACACTCACGCACGCACGCACACTCTCTCACACACACACGCACGCATGCACACACTCACACACTCTCTCACACACACACACACACACAAACTCTCTCTCACACGCACAAACACACACGCTCACTCTCTCTCACACTCACACTCGCTCACACTCTCTCTCACGCACACACACACAAACTCTCTCTCACGCTCACACACACAAACTCACACACGCTCACACACACTCTCTCTCTCACGCACACTCTCACACGCACACTCTCTCTCTCTCACACTCTCTCTCTCTCACACACACTCTCTC